GGAGGCCTTGATTATTTTTTGAAACTACCATGTTAAAATATTATAATCTGAGGGAGTTGCAAAGTCATAATAAACATTGATCTAATTGTCTTTAAAAATAATTGTGGTAGATAAACACAGTGAAGGTGATTCAAATTGGATTTATGTAGTAATATGAAGTCTTAAGTTACATGTCCTAGGTATCTACAGGTACTCAGCCTAGAGTGAAAATCCTAGGTCCTTACGTTATTTGAGGGGTGTGTGTATATGTATGTGGTCAAAGTTTCTGAACACAATTCACATAGCCTTATTAGCAAAAGTTAAGAAATGGCTCTCTCAAAGAAGCAATTACAGCTTTATTCAGAAGTGTAAAGGTTGAATTATTTGTCATAAATTACACCTATTTCCACTTTTTACTGTAGGGTGGATAACTGGTAAATTTTTCCTTTGTTAGAATTCAGCTCTTCTTGAATATTATCTCTTGAATAAAACTTGGATTAATGTTAACCTACCTACCTAATTTTTGCTGTCTTTCAATGACTTAGATGGAGAGCCAGTGTATCTTACTACAATTGTAGTGGGACATCAGCCTGGTGGCTGCTTAGCTCTGCACTTATCACTTAGTTTTTTTTCCCCACTTCAAATCACAAAATAATTTAAGTAGACTTTGTTTTCTGAAAGCTCCATAGCATTTGAATAAAAAACGTTGTGCCAGATTGTTTGCTTTAATCTAGTGTGTTTAACAAATAATTCAGTACATGCTATGTTTTAGGCACTATGTAGATAGTGTTAAGGGGTAGACAAAACATTAAATAGTCTCAAGGAGTTTACTTATGGTCCATAGTACTTTTGTAACTAGGCTTTATATATATTATAGAAAAAAGTTTTTCCTTTATTCATATATTAGTGATTACTGTTAATTTGGCTTTGTGACTAACATTTTGTTAAGATTTTCACATTTCAGAATACCTCAAAAGTTGTGTAAGTGTTGGGATAGAGTATATCAGATTGTAGATGTTCAGAACTTAAAAAAAAATGCAGCAAATTATTAATAGTATGTGATTTTTAAATCTAAGATAGGAGCAATAACACTTTAAATTATTTGTGGGAGAATAAAGAGGATTTTAAAAGAAGGAATTTTGGAGTTTTAGAAAATGAAAATACTCTCAGGTATGGGTTGCTGGGCTTCCGGTCCTGTCCTTAATACTCCTTACTTGTGATGTTAGGCAAGTTATTGACACTTGAAACCTCTCTAAGCCTTATGTTCTGCAACTATGAAAACAAGTAAGTAATAGTACTTCTCCCTAGAGCTGTTTTTAAGATTTCTATGTGAGTAATTAGAATGACTTCTGGCACATAGTAAGCAGTCAAATGTTTGTTGTCTAATCATATACCTCATGCAGGAAAAAATATGCAGCATTAGGTGTGAAAATATTGTCACCCTTCAACGTGTTGAGATTAAAATAGAGAAAGACCTAAGCTTTTACTTTTGAGATTGACACTTGCCTTGATAATTTAACCTTGTTCTGTGTTTTTTTTTATCATTTATTAACAAATTTCTTTTTTCTTAAGGGAAGCCTCCAAAACCAAAGCAAAGTGAGTCACAATCCATAATGAATATTTGCCTTACCAGTCTACTTGGACTTCACTCATCAAGAAGAGGAAGAAAGTTATCTGCCTTCCTCCTCCTTGGTGCTTTCGGCTATCAACTTTGAAATAAGTTTAAACAACACCTACTGAAAACAAAACCATGTAGTACAGAAACACACCACCAGGATTGGGTCCCCCATATTGTGTCATCAAAACAGTTCTGAAGTGGATAGAAGTCTGATGAGACCAGCTTATCCCTCCTGTGTGGGTGGGTTCTGGGGAGAGTTGCTACGATACAAAAACTGAAAGCTGAAATCCGTAAGGCCAGATGATGATATTTAACAGTGTAGGCTCCAGTATGCTTTCGCATAGGCATTTCAACATCTAGCTTTCTCTGTAGTGTATCAACTCTTCTTTTGCTTTGTCCCTATAATAATCTTAGTAATTTTGGTATAAATTTGAGGACAGTTTAACTTGAGAATACTCTGAATATGTGTAGTACTATTTGTCACTTGTATTTTTATCATTTAACATTTTAAATGTTTAATTTGCTGGGTTGAGTAATGCCAAGGGGATGATGCTGAAAACAAACAGATGTGAGTTTAGTAAAAAATTATAAAGTATGAGAACTTTTTTTAAAG